GCAGCATATATGTATGTATGTATGTATGTATGCATGTAAAGTGGTTGCAAATTTTACAGAAGATAGATTTACATACGTTAGAAGATAGTGCTGCCTTGTTGGCCTGATATTAATCCAAGTCCATTTATATTACGTAGACACGACTCTCATGAGAACAGAAAGGCACTAAACTATGGTTAGTGATTTCGGGGAGAAAGCTTTGGGGAAATTAAAAAAAAATCACTTAGCAAATCAGCTGAATATGTTTTGCCCAAAACTATAGCTAAATATTTTTATACATATTCAATAATTTGATTTGTTATGTTATTCCAGGTGATTTCGAAGGATTTCTTTGGCCGCATACAGCACCGAACAGTCGGAGGACCACGCGAAGTTTGTAAGTTTTGCAATATGCTGTAGTATATAGTTTTCTTGTATAGCTTATATCCTCGTTCTTGCTAATGCTTAGTTCCTTTGTGGCTATTTTCCAAAATGTTTTTGTTTTTTGAGTTATCTTTGCTTATTTTGGAAAATCTAATTATTTTTAGTTAAAAAAAGATTTTTTTAGTTAAAAAGAAAAATGTTTACTAAAAAACTAGCCTCTGCTAAGTAAAAATGCATTTTCTGCAACAGTGTAAACTCAAAAAATAATAATTTTCATTTATTTAAATTGCAACCAACAAATTTCAAATATTTTTAATTTCGCCAAATATATATTTTTTAATTGTCTTATTCACGAAAAATTTAAGTATTAATATTGAAAGAAAAAATTTAACTTTTTTAATAATAAATTGTGAAATTTTCTATAATTAAGTTAGTTATTGTTGCCATTTTTTGAGTTTCTTTTTATGTAATTTTTTAAATTATTTACTTTATTTAATTTTTTTTTCACTTTTTACTTATTTGCTAATTAATTAATTTAATTTCTAATAATTCGAATTATTATTTATGTTCTGTATTGCAGGTAAAACCGATGCAATTGTCAAAAGTCCCATTTGGTATCGCTACAAGGAGGGTTTCAATAACGCCGTGCGCAAGGATATACACATGCACGAGCTGCTTTAGCGGCTGCTGTCAGTCACTGCTATTAAGTGTATATTTTAAAATAAATTTATTAACCATAAACTAAATTATATGTAAAATAACAATTTTTTTTATAATTTTAATTTTAATATTACCACTGTAAACCATATACAAGATTTTTAACAAAAAACATAAATAATAAATAGGTTGTATGTGTGTATGTGTTATCACTAAGCGTTTTTATCAAAAATACAATAAATTTTACAATTAAAAATATGAAAAAAATGCGTATTTTTTTGTAAAATTCTTTAAAATGTCAAGAAAATGTGTTTTTTTGCATATGATGTCCATCTGATGTGATATCATATCCAATCGAAGTGATGTGATGTCCATGTGAGGATATCCGATCAATACGACGTGACGTGATGTGATATATTGTACATGTGATATCACGTCACGTGACATGCGCCTGTCACGTGATCATCAGTTGATTACGTCACTCGTGACATTGTCGGATTTTTACCAAAATCGAAAATTTCCGATTTGCAGCAGGCGCCCATGAACGGTAGCAAGTGGCCGTCGCAGCTCAGCGGAAGTTAAAAGTGCACAATATGCCGCATGTGGCCTGTTTTCGTTGCATACTTTCAGGCGCCGGATGTTTCAACTGTTTAGTATTACAATTTGCATAGGTTACAAAACTGTTCACGCTTGTTTATCAAAAGACGGTACAAAACTCATTGTTTTTGGTTTTTTTTAAGTATTTTTTGCCTTTTTATTTCAGAAATCAGTGAAATATATAAATATTTGTGTAAATTAAGTTCAAATATGGATATACAAGCATATTAATTGTTAATTTAGAAAGTTATAGTAAATATTGTTGATGATTGCTGAAATGATAAAGAAAAATAGATGAAACTTGTATTATTTCGAATATTACTTGTTTTGAATAATCGAAAATGCTTATAAAAATTTAGTAAACCACATTTAAACACGTTTATACACGTATATAAATTTTTTAGTTCGAATATGCTTTATAAAAAGGTTCTACAAATATGAGCAATTCTTTTTATAAAAATTGTTTCTGCTCTTTATTGCTGGCAGCTTTTTTGCTGGAGAGGGTTTACCATATGTGAGAAAAAACAATAAAAAATCATTTAAAGAGATTATCACTCGCCAAAAATTGTAAGTCAAGATTATAAGGTTTATTCTTCAATCCATTTTTTTTGTGCTTCAATTAAAGAATAAGCTGGCACGCGATTGCCACTTTTATAAAATCGAAATATGTATTAATGCTTTATGCATTAAGTTTGTATTAACACATAAATTACAAATAATATTAATAATAATTTTAATGAAAAAAAAATTAGAAAAGTAAAAATCATATAATTTATTTTATAGCATTGCCAGATATGTTGAAATCTAAGATTTTTAATGTTGCTCTAAAGGTTGAGATAAAACTTTGATATATTTAGCGGAACTACAAAAAACGATTAATAGAGGGGGTACCTGCCCAACAACTATGTTAAACCTGGTATTTGCGCTTGAACAAAATCATATTGCATGAGATGGTTTGCATATTATATAATAATTATTTTTTATAAAAAAAATGTAAGGTTTCTATCTATCGTATAAACGTAACATTATATGTTTATTAGGGTGGAGCGAAAAATAAAAATTTTTGTGTTTGCTTAGAATGAGTTGAAAATTTGTAGATTATAAAAACAGAAAATTTTTGGAAAAAAAAATTTTTTCACATCTAGAGGAGGCTTAAATGAAAAAAAATTTTTTTTTGTCCAAAAAAAGTTTTTACTCGAAATTTACTTTGAAAGTGAGTGGACCTCTAGATGTTTACAAACATTTTTTTTTCAAAAAATTTTCTTTTTTATAATCTACAAATTTAACCCTCAGGCTGAGTAACAAAAAATTTTTTTTCGCTCCACCCTAATGTTTATTAAATTTTTTTATAACATATTTTTTTTATCAACTCATTCAAATATTATTTTATTTATTGATTTTATTTTAGTTATTTATGTTTCAATTAATAGAATATAGAGTATAAATATTAAAAAATCGCAATAAATAAAATAATAATACTAAAAAATTATTGTTTGTTTTTAAACGGTAAATTACTTAAGAGAGAGAATTTAGAAGGCTGTAACTCAAAAATAATTTTAAATATTAATTTTAAATTTAAGTATGTCAGTTTTAATGATAGTCCATGCCATGGAATTATGCAAAAAAATTAAAAAAAATGGTTATTAGTATTATTTGACACTGAATTTAATAATTTTTGATTTCTTTAATTTTGTATATGTATATACGAAAAAATCAAATATCTAAAGGGAAAACAAGAAAAATAAGTAACAATCCTCGTGACGTGTGGCGATGCAACCAGAGAACTTAGAATAGTTGTTTTAAGTTCTCTGATGCAACAAGATTTGGCAACTCGCTACACGCAATACAAACACTCACACACATACATACATACAAACAAACAAATAAACATATACAAGTGTATGGAAGCTGATAGTTATTGTCGGAGAGCATAATGATTATAAGCAAGGCTATGCTTTATCATTAACAGTATGTATGTATGTATTTATGTGTGAATATGCAAATACATATACAAGTATATGTATGTAATATAATAATAAAATGTACGTAGCTAACGAATTAAATGGCAAGCTGCTGCGCGTTTCAAGCCTTTGACTTTCCTCAACAGCCTTATCAGTACATACATACATATACCATATATATGTTGATGGTATATTATAAATTCATATGTTGAATGAATACAAAAGCAACACCAACAAGAGCAGCATGCCTGTTTTCGTGGAGTGTGCGATCAATAATTGAAATGAACGCGTTCTTTGAACTTACCATCGAACGCTTTGACTTGTGAAGAAGTGTCTACTTTCACATTAAAAATTTGTCTATGTTGTGTCACTGTGCGATCTGGCGTGGATAGTAGGGTACTTAATCAACACCTTAGCAGACTGACCTGGCTGGTTAACTTTTGCTATAAAATCGGTCGTAAACTTTAACTCTGTGTTCTATGTCAAGAAGTGGGTGAGCTTCTCCTACTTGTACAACTAGTAGTCTGAGATCTGACCAATGGAAGTTCAAGTTCATGTTAAGCCGAATAAGAAAAAAAAATGTTTATTGTTCCCACAGCAGTGCTACCTTCATATCGTACCCGGTTTTATATCCAGCCGAGGGCAATTAACTCGCAGACATGCACCGAGAACTCCGGTTATTGTTATACGTGGTGATAGGTGAGATTAAAACTTATAAGAAATGTCAGAATAGAGAAATAAGAGATAAATACTTAATCCCAGAATTGAATATAGGCCTACTCAAAGTATGTGAGGCTAAAGGGTCAAGACGAAATAAGTTCGATTCTCAAACCCTGTTAAGTGTCGTCAAACCGCATTGGTCTCGGTTAACAGTCACAACTTCGAAGTTATTTCGTTTTTGTTTAGAAAAAACCTCTCTATAAAATTTTCTTATTTGATATTCAGAATCACAGTTGTAAAAGACTGTAAGACGGTCAAATTGAAGCTCCACAAACATAACAAAATAGATTAAGCGCCAACGTGGCTTTTAGTTCGAAACTTTAAGCTTAAGCGCAAGTATTATACAATACCTTAAAGTCTCGCAGTAGGCCTTTGGAGAACCACCAGAGTCCCCTCTAGGATTACTGGAGCAACAGATTCAGCGAACGGTCTTAGATCGTTGTAATCACTAGTATTCAAAAATAATAAATAAAGAGCAGTTCTAGTTCGGACATACCCTATCCAAATAATGCAAGCATTGGAACTACCTTTATTAAATTTTCATTAAAAGTAAAATGATCAACTGTCAAACAATAAATAACTGACATATATCGGTAAAAATTTGACAGAGGACAAACCACAGGCAGGTTTTGACAGCTCTAACTGTCACTGTCATATTAAAGCTCTGACAATATGTGGAGCAACCCTCGCAATGTCGGCGCCACACGCTCAATGTTCTTACTATATTATAATATTTATGCGTTATTGTTGTATTAATTCTTATAAATTGCTTTTATTATTATTAAACATAGTTTGCAGCAGCACTGTCGTCATCTCAGAGAGGCGCTGAGCGCCAAGCGGTGTATTGATCTCAGCCGTCAATTGCGATAGTGCAAGTGCCACTACCCGCCGTCGCTGCCTTCGTTACTCGTCGACGAATTCCGGAGGCAGTAGCGGCTCTACAAGTAACTTGCGGCATTGTTGGGTTGTATTCATTGAATGTGACAAGAGTCGAGTCGCGGCGGGTGTTGAGTACCTACATATTACTATATATAATTTTGTGATCGTTGCAATGGAATTGCGTCGCCTTGTTTTGCTTGGCATTTTGCTGCTGTTTGTGAGCGCTGTGGCGGCTAGAACGCGCGGACGGCCAAGTGAGTAGAAATATGTACTTGTATTTGAAAAGGTATTTGGTAATAACTTAAGTACATGTATATATATTCATATATATGTGTGTATGAGTGAAACTCGATGAAAAATGGGCGTGATTAGAGTATATAACAACAAAAATAAAATAAATTAAAATAAGAAGCAATTTACACTATTTCCGCTCGAGAGTTGCTATTTCCCGGATGAAAACTGTATTAAGCGTTAGATCAAGCGTGTTCTTTTAGAGTCAATAGTTTCTAGCTGTCAAAGTTCGTACATGTGTTTGACATTTATGTTCCGACTACTTTGGCAAATTACCATAAAAATTTACTTCCAAAGCTCGTCTTCCACGTAATAAACTTACAGATCACTTTGCTTTTTGGAACGAATAGTCCTGAAAGTAATCTTTACACACTCTTACAGCTGACTTTGGATATATCAGCGTTCAGATATTTTTATACCTTTGCGAGCTCGTAAATTATCAAAATTACCATATTTTGTGATCGAACAGTACTGAATATACTCTTTAGACTCTCTTAAGTCCAGAAAATGTTAATCACTGTTGAGGTTTGCATGTCGATGCTTTCAAAAGGTTACTGTCAACAGAGATTTTTACAGTTAAGCGATTTTAGACTTTTTGGCTTCGGTAGTTAATATCAATCTTCTAAGTCCATTCAAACAATGAGACAAGTCTTACAGCGTTCAAAGCCATCACTTTATTGTCACGATTTTTTGGGGACCATAATAAATCAATAAATCTGTCTATAAGTTGGCCACCTAGGTCAGGTAATTTGTAGTAATTAATTATTACTACTTTTTGCGAGCGAATTAGAAGTTCAAAGTCTATGCTGAGGAACTCGAAGTTCAAGGTTTAAGCTGAAAGAACTCGGAGTTCAAGATTTAAGCTTAAAGAACACGGAGTTGAAGGTCTATGCTGAGGAACCAACTACAGGCTGGCTATCAGAAAAAGTGGAAAAAAGTTAGCTCAACAACACAATCTCCATCAAAGACTAGGTCAGTGTGACCACAATATTCTGCAAACAATAAATAACATAAAAATCACATTTACTGCCGGTACAATATTTTCTTAATACCGTTTCTCATTTGCTGTCAACCACAAATGCGGTTGATTGTGTTATCAATAATGGCTCATTATTTTATTATATTGAATGTGGTGTGCACAAGCCCATACCCTATACACTTTTCTATTTTTGCATTTTTTTTTTTAATTACTAAATAAGCTTAATTAAATTATTCATTATTTTTTATATAGAAAAGATAACGATTTTGGTGATGACGGAATATTTCGTTATGTTCTTATGAAATCAAGTACACTCAGTGTACCCAATTAAATTTCGTTTGTTTTCTCTCGTCACAGACATTTGCCTGCAGCCGCCGCCAAGGTCGGAAGGTGTTTGCACTATCGAAATCGAAGGTTTCTACTTTGATTCGCGCACCAACGACTGTCAAATGTATGTGCTGGGTGGCTGTCATACTATACCGGGGCAGAGTTTCGGTTCGCGACAGGATTGCTTAGACACATGTGTGCATATGACAAGACGTCTACAGGATTTACGCTACAACGAGTGAGCCAAGCGACGTGCGAGATTAGCGATGAGCCAAAGGAACGACATATAAAGACGCCTTATAAGTGTTCTATATAAGATTTGCGAATTTATATAATAAATATGTTTATGAGTAGAAAATATTGAAAGGAATTAATGTGTAAGGAAGATAAGAAAAAGTTGCGACGGTGCCAAATTATATACCAGTATGATATAACACACTCAAGCATTTTTGTTTCAAAACCCCTAATGATAATATAATAATTTGTAAATCAGTTACTTCGAATATTTGAGAGTAAGTGAGTGAAGGATCGTGGATGGTTACACGTTGTCCATTTTGCAATTTTTAGAGATTAGTGCAATCTCTTCACCAGTTATTAATTTCGCCGTCAAGTCCTTATTTTAAATTTGGAGTGATGTATGTACCATATTATTTTCTACCGCAATTTCTAGTACACTCGAAAAGCAATTATAATTTTTAGTGGCTTTAAATGAAATCTCTATATCAATCAAGGTTTACACAAGCGTAGTAGGTTAGGTTAATTACAACAAGTCTAGCTGAGATAATAAAATTTAGCTAAAGATGAATTCTTCCTCAACTACAGCGGCATCTATCAAACATGAATATAATTGATATAATAATCATAACCAATATCCCATAATTGAATTTCTATTAGGTAACCGGAAAATACCCGATATAGGTAACCGGAAAACACCCGATTTGGGTAGCCGAAAAATACCCGCAAATAAAAAACGTTGCTATTCAAGAATAGAGAGAGAAGTAATTTGTAAAATCGCCGTTAAACCGCCCTAAAATATGCAATAATAATTTTAAAATTTCACTCTCTTTTTAAATAAAACACGAGACTATTTTTGTGTGCCTATTTTGATGAGTATTTGTACCTTCGCCAAACACGAAACCGAAGAATATTCAACAGAATCGACCACATAATAGAATATAGAAATTTCAAATACATGCAAAGGGTTAATGCAAGTAGAGGCTTCAAATTGTTTTAAATAAAAGTCTAATTAAATTAAATTTATATTGTGAATATACATATGTTAATGTATACGTAAAGATTTTTATATAATATAAATTTATTTCAACTATAAGAATATGAGTATATTACAAGGGTACAAACTTACGAACTTACATATACATGTATATACCATAAAAAATTTAATATTTAAATGTACTTGATCCATATTAAAAATGGAGTATGCATCTATATATGTGCACATAAGTTTGTGCAAGAGCGTCCATAGTCCAATACGATTAAATTTTGCATTGTCATAATGATCTTATAAACCAAAATGGAAGAAATTTCGCACTTAAAGGCATGTTGAGAGAAAACAGAGAACTACTTTTGTTTTATTGAGACTCGGGTAGGCTCACAAGAACGGCTTTACAAGGAAAACACCAAAAGTTGAGAGGACTTAGGTAGGAGTGGCTGTCTTACGACACAGGGCTTAGAGCCTTGTTTCATAAAGTTGGGTGAAAGGGAAAACTCCAACTGACATAAATACCCAAACAGCTTTATGAGCGTAACATCGCCGGCAACAGACTCACGAGGACTAAGGACACCTGAGCTGTTGTTAAGCTATGCGGCAAGGTAATTGAAAATATATGATATATAGTCTGATCTTCTGTGTTTAAATAGTGTAAGCTCGTTTGCAAGAATAAGCATAGAGAAAATTGTACTCTCAATTATGTTGCATAAAATCATTTTATGATGATAATGCTGTGCAGAAAGTTTTCCTCTAAAACACTTGACGAAAACGAATTTATATTTTTCTCTTTTACTACGAAGTCCAGAGAAACTATAAACCACTATTTTTGCACTAGAAAATAGCCCTAAAGCATCTGAAATTCGGTTTGATAAAGCACATAAATCAAAATCAAAAAATAATATAGTAAGTCTTGCAAGCCTTAGGTCCTTTTTTGGAGTATGACGAATCGAACAAACAACTAGTATAAAAGAAAGCAAATGGTATAATGAATTAAGAAATCTTTATCAAATAGTTATACCAGTTTAGTGTGCTATTCAATACTCCTTTGTACGGAATTTAATGAGATAATTTTGTTGCTCCTTTCACACGCCAATTTTTATATAAGAGTTATACATATATCAGTTTTCAGCCGAGCTTCTGTGTTATGGGGTTCTTTTGAATGACTATGGAGTGGTTAATAGAATTTTATATACACTTTTGTCTTATTAGAAATACTTCTAACCGTCTGCTGAGGTAAAAAGCTTTCATAGAAAGATCAATGCAATTTTAATTATTTTTTCGTCCTAGATTAGGAACAATAATACAAATAAGAGATCTTAGCAATTTTAAATTTACGTTATTAGGGCCAATGACCGGCCGAGTTGACGCTGAGCGTGCAAAATACTTAGCAATACGACGAAATACTCAAGCTATTGGGTAGCGGTTTCTAACAGTCAATATATGCTTTGCCCCAATATTTTACTTAGAACCTTAGCAAGCTGTTAAGTAAGAAGAACCAAAATAACACATTTTATGTGTTCTAATTAGCGCCTACGCAATATGAAAAGAAGATTTTATTCGCCATAATGAACAGAGTATTGACATTTTATATTTATATTTAATCACTAAAAGTTATTGCATTGGTCGTTACGGTGGCATGGCTTCGGCTTCCGTAAGCAACGCTCCAACGTTCAACCGCCTTACACGTGAATGTGTACGTGCGACGCGCGTAGAAATATGGATTTCACGTGATTCGCTTTTGAAACTCTTTGAAAGGCTACTGGTGCGTCGTGTGTATGTGTGGGTAAACGAAGCGAGCTTGCTGCTGATAAGCCTTGTAACAATGTATGATGTTAGCGGCAACTAAATATAAAGCTATCTTACAACGCCTCTTTCCATTAATCAGAGGCATAGCAATAATATAAAATCATAGTAATTAGTTTATAAACACAACTGACAGCATCTGCAGACGATGTAAATATGTAGGTATGTATGTGCACCTCGCATAAACATGAACTGTAGTACGCCGCCGATAGCGTCACAATCAACGGAACACAATCATTTCCACCCATTGATAACTGTAACACAAAGCGCACGTCAGCAAGTGGACTAATTGCGTCGCGAATTGTCTGCGAAATCGTTAAAAAAAAAATAAGAAAAAAAATTATTGAATGAAAAAAAAAAATTTAAATAAAAAAAGTTAAAAAAAATATTAGGAAACTTTAAAAAAAATGAAAAAAAGTTAAGGGGAAAAATTTTGGAAAAATTAGAAAAAAATTGAAAAAAAAATTGTTCGAAAGTCGACTCGAGTGAGGTCACACGCACATCCTTTACAATTACTAGCCATAGCATAGCATAAGCATTTCAAAAAAGTAAACAGAGAAAATCTTAGCTGGTTGCGAAACCGCTGAGCAAGTAGTAAGCAGTGAATGCCGGCAAGAACCAGTTCCGACATGCCAAACAAAGCTTACGTATTGCGTCTCCTCCTAGCTGTCAATATGTAGCACATATGTATGTACATACACACATTCATAATTATGTACAGTTCATTATTTCATTAGTTGATAATTAACATTAAATGTGCTTATCACTGCTCATTGCTTATAGGTTTCTTTTTTTTTAATTTTTTGGATTTTTTTTTTATTTACTTCTGTTGCGCCACTTCGCTTGCTTTGTTCTAGAGTTATCAGCGCTTGGCGTGTATGCATCACACCAGCATCGATTAAGCCATCAATACTATAGTAGCTGGAAAATAAGAGGACGTTTTGCTTTGCAAATGTGTATGTAGTAAAATTTTACTAAAGCACCCAGTAGGAAATTAAACTTAATTGATGGAGAAATTTTAATTATTTCACTACAAACATTTTTTCAAGCTGAGACAACTACCTGCCATCACTAACAATACAAAGAAACCAAAACCAGAGTTGCCAATTTTAGGAAATTTGGGGGATTTCTAGTCGATGCATATATGTTATAGAATAATATTATATTATGTAATGGAGCAGTACTTACAGTTTACTCAACCATGTTCTGAATCAATATTTTTTTACTTTTTACTACTCACATTTCTTAATTACATATGTTATATATAACCGTTAAAGAAAAATGCTTGAAAACTTAGTCTTGTTGCTGTATATCACTCATAAGTATGAAATAGAAGCAGAAATCTCTGACTCTGAGGCTTACCTATTAGCTAGCCATTTTGCCTTAAAACCTCTCCTTACCGTCTGCTCCTTACCGTCTGCTAAAGGGAAAAATGTTAAAAAATGTTTCCTAAGAGCTATGCAAATAAACAATTCACTGTTTTTCCGATTTTAATTTTTTTTAAATATTCCTAAAAACTGCAATCTAATTTTCATATATAGATTTGATAAAAATAGTCAGGAAAGGTAATTTTATTTTTATAGTATCTAATATTTTTCTGATATTAAATTTTTCATTCTGGTATTTATCCCTTCCCGAAAAACGTTTACATAAATAACAAAATATGGAAGAGATCGTTCAGACTCCGAAATCGCTCTATATAACTTCTGTTTTTATATAGTCTTACACAATATAAGAGGCTGGAATCTTGGAAAATGAGAAGATGGTCTTCAAGTGTCTTCAAGAATATCTAAAAATAAATAAAAGCGGACTGTTGAATAAAATAAATAAATCCAAGCCTTTAAAATAAAGATCATTTATTAGATTAGAATAGATTTTTTATCAATTGAACAAGGTGGTGTTAGTTCTAAGTAACTAACCTTTGACAAAGAGTTGACGAAAATTTACAGAAAGTTACAGGCTTGAGACTGAATGGTGCTGATATGAGAAAAATTTAATTAATAAGTGCCGCACTTAAGTCTTAACTACAAACTGTGCCACAGTATAGTTTGATTCAATTTGAAGTATTTTTTATGCAAATATTGTATAACAAATAACGACTAAGAAACACTTAGTTTTTCCTATGGAGTCTGTATATATAGCTGCTTAAGTATACTTTCCCATATTCGCTATTAAACTTAGTAAAAAGCTGCGGCACCATTCAATTCGAAATAAAACTCGTGAAACACTCAACCAGCTGTAGTGAGACAAACGTAACTGTTCTAGACCACGAAGAGCTAGAAAATTAACGACAAATCTTTGATTTTCTAATTTTATTGGCGAATTTCGTGGCGAGATATTTCTACACACACACACACATATATATATATAAAAATACATAAGTAATATATAAATTTTTAGCAATAAACATTTCAACTGCACGCCAAACAAATCATCTAGACCGTGCTGTAGCGAGCGCCGAGTACTTAGCGTACGTCCGCTATCAATTGAAAGCCACAACGGTCGGTCATTTACATGCGATACTTCATGGAACAATTGCAGAGGTTTCGAAGTGCAAGCGGCTGATAAAAAGCGCATACCAAAACGAGCGGAAAGTTAGCTGAATTTAAGAAATATAAAGAGACACACATACATATACGCGTATATATGTCTGCTGTCACGCTTTCTTGCGCTGAGAATATATACAATATATGAAAATAATATAAGCAATAACAAAACCAACAAACGAGTGGCAAGAAAAAAATTCAATCAACTGCGCCCAACCGTTTAGCCGGCAAGCGCCAAATCAGTAAATCAGGCTAATCTGCGGGTCGCCACGTTTAGTGGTCTATTAGCGCATCGAAGTTCTGGTGTACGAAACGAGTGGTATAAAATCGCTGCGCTTGTCCGTTCGGCTTTCACAAAAGCAATAAAAGAACTTCGCGCAACAGTAGCCACAAGTGAGCCAAAGGAAAAGTAGTAGCAGCCAAGTTATATAAGCGAAAAAAAAAAAAATTCAATAAAATTTTGCAAGTATTTTGAGTGGTGTTAAGTGAAATTGCAGTGATTTGCTAAATTAATGGAAATCCCTTTTACTCGGCCATACAAATTGATTTTGGCACAAATAAAATATCTGAAATTGCCCGCAACGCGCGCTCAACATAGCGAGTGATGAAACTATAAAAACAAAAGTCGAAAATAATATAGCAAAGAGTAATAAAAGACTAAAAGTCGAATTTTCGCTAAATTACAACAAATTTGTTACAAGTGTGGACAGCACGTGGAAATCGTGAAAACTTTCAAAAATCGCGGAAATTGTTCCTACCTAACCTCAAGCAAAAGCAGTATTTTAGTTTTGATACGATAAAATAAAATAAAAATAAAATAAAATATTAATAAAAATAAATAAATAAAGAAATAAATTAATGAAATAAATTTAAAACTACAAATTTCAATAAAAAAAGTAACAGTTTCCGTTGACGCAAAAGGAAAAGCTCACATACCAAACATGAGGGCGCATATTGTCTTGGGTTTGCTGTGCTTGCTCTGCCTGACCGTGTGCAGTTATGGACGTGCACGTAAGGCAAAAAAAATTGTTATTTTTATTATTTATTTTAAGTTTTATTAATTTTAATGCGAAAAAAGGAGTAATAAGCCATACAAGGTTAAAATTTAATCAGTTTAGCGGTTGGCTTGAGAAAACGACAGCGAATGTGATTGTGGCTTGTAATCAATGTTTACGCTACGTTAAGTACTAAGTTATAATTATACAATATATACATATGTATATATAAAAAGTGATATCCAAGTGTATATGTTTCCGTGAATTATGCTTTTCCAATAACTAAAAAGATTTCATTAAAATCGGCATGACAGATATGGTTATACTTTAGACGCTAAAACTTTCCGTTAACGTTGTTTTAAAATAAACATAATAGTTACAAGGCTTGAAGTAAGCTGCAGCTGTTTGTGTAGCTGAAAACGTGGAAATACTGACTACCACATATGCCCTGTATTAGAAGAGATTCGGTTCTAACAGTTATATAACTAAATCGCATCGAATCGCAGTTTCTCGAATTTTGTTTGAATTTTTAACGGATTCCTCTGGTTTTTGAATCACAATTAAATTGTGTTCCTTTCATAATAACTAAGCTTTGCTTTCAGCTGTCTTGTGGCTAGTTTTTTGATAGCAAATTCGACTTAATGATCTAAAAATTTTACTTTTTGTGGGTTTCTGTTATTCTTTATCCAATTCTTTGGATGTATAAAATTTGCTAAAAACTACTCAAAAGTTTGATATAAAATTTGTCATAATGAGGCTTTTGCGCCGAATCTTTTCGACAAAGTAGGCTTCTTCTAACAGAAGAACATCTTTTGATGTATCGTTCCGCGCTTCGCTTTCTTTTTCCAAACTAGCGTCAATACCAATAGAAATCGATTTGCACTGGAATCTATCGGAAAAAAGATAGTATTTAGGGTACAAATAGAAATTACAGATGTTCAGACATCCTAACTGTATGGATAGCAAAGTTGAGACTAGAAGCCAAATAAGTAAATAGTTAAGGAATGTAGACATTGAGAAATATAAAAAAAAAATTTACAGGTTAGGTCGAACTTAGATGGCTTTGCGCTTTGATTTTTGAAAGTTTAAACCTTCTTTGATCGCAAACTAGAATATGCGATATAGACTAAGTAATTTTTTACTATATAACTATACTATTATCCAATATACTATATTCGAATACTTCAGGTAGTCTTTTAAAGCAATGCCATTTGGGTCAAGTATACCAAAGAGTTTTGCAGAACTAATAAAAGTGTTACTTATCTAACTTTAGAGAATAGAGACAAGAACTTGGGTTAATTGATCGGAATAGTCGTTTTAAGTTACGCTAGATAGGCAAATTCATTAATAATGAAGAATCTTTAATATTAAAAAACACCTCTAAAATATTTCTATACACAAAAAAGAATTGTATTTAATTTCTTTTACTTTTCTCATTTCCAGGTGACATTTGTCTGGTACAGCCCTCCATAAATAGTCTGTGCATCTCAAACACTTTGGGCATTGTCTACGATTTGGATACGCAACATTGCAAATATATGGGCTGCAGCACCGATAAGAAATTATTTGCATCACTTGAGGACTGCGAAAAAATTTGCAACAATTCCAGACATCGTCGGCTGCGTAGCAAATACAACAATAAGACGAACAATGTTAATAGGGAAGAATTATCGAAATGAAGCAGCAAAACAAAAACAAAAAGCAATGTATCTCGTGTTTTGCGATTTTGCTAAATTCTTATTAGTTTATTTATAATAACGATTAATATATGTTTATATACTATAGTTGCTAGATTGTAAGCGTAATTTAATTTTGAAAAATAAATTTTGTAACAAAATGTGAATTTATATTGGAAATTGTATTCATTTTAATATGTTTCAAACTCCCTATGTATATATACTATACTATACATACTAGTATATACAAGTATATATATATTATATTTGACGCTGTCTTCTTTGTGCGAAGCTTGCCAGAAGAAAATATAGCCCTAACAGTTTCTAACCGTCTTCGAATGGCTATTTGATTTTATGAGCAAAATGTTATTGGCCAAATTACACTCGAAGGTGTGTTATTGACAGCCTTTGTAGAATTAAAAAAAAACATAAACTCTCTGTTATCGATGATTCAGAGGGTTTTAGACCTTCCTTTATTTGTATTGTATAGTCGTTTTGGCTCAACGGAATGACGAGTACAGCTTAACGAATTTGCTCACCTTGCTCATCATTTTTTGAAAATACCTATATACTTGTATTGTCTTTGATATTTTTTTCTATCTTCTTCTTCTATCTTCATTTTATTATCATCTTCTGCTGATACATTCCTAAAATGCATACAGACTGATAATACGTTAGTCGCGACTGTAACACCCAGAATGAGAAGAGGGGTTATTTGTGTGTCAATATATACGCGAAATAGTCCCTCAGTTTTTGAGATATTCATTTGAAATTTTTCATACGTCCAGGTGAGTAACGGACCACTATTGGATATAGCTGCGATACAAATCGACCGATCAAAATCAATATGGAGATCATATGAGATATTTTTTCCTAATTTAAACACCTTTACTTGTATATATATATATATATATGATATGAAGATTCTATATATGAAGATTCTTTATATCAATCAACATAGGTAAATAGAAAGAACGAGAATCATTAAATTACTCACTTTTTATCATAATTCAACCATCGTGCCACCTATCGAGATTTTATTACGTCTATAACTTTCTCCCAAGCAAAACAAAGGAAGTACTGTATGGAGGAGAGAATTTTGTAAGTTTATTAAACAGAACTAACATTTTTGTGTTAAAGGTAGGAGATTGTGGGAGTTGAAAGGTCTTATTGCAATTTTAATATGCTAAGGAAAAATTCTAGTTTATTAAATTTTACGAATTCTTCCTGCCTACAAGCGACTAAAATGTCTATAAAAGCTGAAAGAAGTGGCATGCTAGTAAATTTTGGATACAATAAGAGAAAAAGAGAGAAGAAAACTTATTATTAGAAACGCTAAAAAATTCTTGACTCATAAAATATATCATACTAAAAGTATACTATATATTTGATATATCTATAAAAGGTTCTTAGACTAGAAGATTTTGGTCTTGACTTGAATTAGTTACAGAATGTTTTATAGGATTATAGGATAGAATGTGCACGGAGGTTTACTATTGTCTTCCGACAGACGATTGTTATTAGGCAAGTAGGTAAGTAGATAGAGTAGCTGTCTGACGACGCACCCATGCCTTTATGAGACCCGTTGTGAAACCACCGAAACTAAGATCGCCTCACTCTCTTGTCTTCTCTCTGAACCACCCGTGCTGCCGATGAAATTCATCAGTATAAAAAGTGTTATCTGAGCAGCCACCGAAATATCGTCATGAAATCCTCTCTCACTCGCATGAAAGTTGTTTTATAGTTCCTCCTCCTCTTCTACCGCCTGACAGCTTCTACAAGCGTTTTGTTATTAGGAAACACTCTCGCTTTTTATAGTTAGTCGGAGATTAGTCGAAGCCTGAATATTGTAGATCTTAATTTTCTATTTATTACCAAAAATAATAATCAAATGCGTGATTTAGTCTCAAATTCAAGCTTGCATTTTATTTTTGAGTATTTTAATAAATTATTTGTTTATGTTTTTTTCATAAAGATAGAAAAAGACCTAAAGTAAGAGTATTAACAATCACATTTACAAATTTCACCAACAAAAATCACCGCGCTATATCGCCGCTTAAACATCGCGACAAGTAAGTTCACACTCCTTTTTCGAATCGAAGCGATTATCATTGCCGCCACACCCACCATAGATGAACTCCTCACACCTGCGCGCGACCGGATCGTAGGCAAAGCTAGAGACATAGCCGAAGCAGCGGCCGCTTTGAGGCGGTTGCAAGCAAAGTTTTACTACAAAAAATATACAAAAATTAAATTATAATAAATAAAGCGTAAAATAAAAAAACAAAATCTGAGCAGAAACAACAAAAAAATGTTTATGCAAATGAGCGGAGGTGAAGCAACGAAAAAATGCGAGTGAGTAAACTGTGGAAATACACTGGTAAATAACGTTGTATATATGTACATATATGCATGTAAATATATAATATAAGTTATATATGTACCTCTGCGATTGATGGCATCAACGCTGAGCGGTGTATTAATTAAAAACAAACAACAAATAATGCCGATTACGCGCACAAACTGCATTTTAAAAAACACTACACGACTTGAACAAAATAAAGTGTACAAATATTTAATGATTATTATTTTTACGCGAATGCCGAGATACAGCGCGATCGTAATGCTTAACTGGGCACACCTGCTGTCAGCTGTCTAACGCTACTGACTCAGCACTGTCGTCTCGTAGCACCTGAGTGCCTTGGTGCTGCAGACGCAGAGAATTTGTGACGACTGACGGCCATTCTAAGTTGTTGTTGTGCGGCTCATCAACATAACAGGTGTACGAGCACTTACAGTTTGTCGCAGTTTGTGGGAGCTTAAGGGGCGATTGAAGCGTTCGAGACGGCCTTCGCGCAAGCGCAAACGACGAAGCGATCGATGACGTGCGGCGGAGTGACAGTTAAATGAGCAGAGGAAGTGAAATGCAGATAAAGATCAAAGTCAAAACAATAATATTAATAAATATACATATGTATGATTACTCAGAATTGGACAAATATAAACTTAATAGCTATATATTTGGAAGTGCTTTCGTTATTTTTGGCAAAATTGAAATATTTGAAAGTATTTTGCGGTTATTTTTGTTGTAAATTTATATTAACACAGTGAGCAGCGGTTAAGCTTGGGATGCGGACGGTTGTATAGAGCTTGAAGTCCACAACATATTGAAATATATTTAAGGTAGAGCTTTTACCACCAGCTTTCGTTTCGCTTAGTTAAGTTTCAGCACGATCATAAATAACATAATTGCACAAAATTATATGCAAATGTAGAAAAATATGTACATATGTATGTATATATACATATGTATTCAAAATAAAATCAGAAAGCTTTTTTAGCGCTCGTCGCTTTTCATTCATCTTGAGCGGATCGCCGCAATCAGTTTTAGTTATCATCATCCTTGTAGCGATTCGAACACGTGAAGTATATTTTATTTTGATTTTATTGTTTTTTTTTTTTTTACTTTGTTAATTTAAACTTTGGCTTTATTTTTAGTTTTTTCTTTATTTTTGGTTGATTTTTAGTAGGATTAGCATTTGGATTTGCTTTAGCAAAACATATTTAATTGCTGCGTCATTGAAAAATGAATATGAGTAATGTAAGAAATGTTGTGTACATATGTACATACATGTTTACAGTGTGTAAAATGCGAAAACGTATTTATGAGATTGTGAGAAATTCGTGGAGAACCAGTCATAGTCACTGAAAACCAAGGAGAACGAGTGAGAACCACTGAGAACCGGCGAGAACCAGAGATCTCCATTTAGAACCGAGGAGAAATAATGAGAGCCACTAAGAACCAGATAGAGAACAGTTTACAAGCAGTGAGAACTACCGAAAATCAAGGAGCACCACTGAAAACTAGGAAGAACCACTGAGAAAACCAAATCTTCACTCTTTTAGTTTGGGAAGATTCAGTAGGAGCTGGAGAGAACTACTTAGAGCCACTATCAACTAGTAAGAGCTAAATACAACCAGTAAAAACCGGAAAGAACCAGTGAGAGCCACTGAGAACCAGGGAGAGCTACTGTTAACCGAGGAGTAATCGTGGGCGCCATTGAGAACCATGGATAATCACTGAGAAACACGGAGCACCACTGAGAATTAGGCAGAACCACTGAGAACCAGGGATAGATCCTGAAAACCAGTGAAAGCCACTGAGAACCACAAAGCTGCCTAATTATCTGTTAACTTAATCTTCACTTTGTAGTTTAGCAACATCAATAAAACTTCAACTGAAACTTCAATTGTAATTCTGAAGTTGAATTACTTTAACTACAATTCAACTGAATGGAGTTGTAAACTGTAATAGAGGTAAATGTAGATTACTCATACGCTTCGTATTCCCGTGAGTCGAATTTTAGGCAAATGAAAAAATAATAAATACTTAGAACACATTTTTTATGCAAAAATTCTTAACTACCAGTGCGAAAATATTGATATAGCAAGTATATACTAAATACACAATAGTAGGGAAGTATTTAGGTGGAAGTCAATACTCATAGCTACTTTCAACAACTGTAAAAACAATGAATTATAACAGAAAATTAAAACGAGTACGGAGGGGTTAAGTTCGGGTGTAAACTGTTCGAGTTTGTACTTTTGCATGTAGCAGGGATCAAAGTAGGGGAGGAGAGACGGAGCTGTAACGAAACTTTATATAAAACTAGAAGAAACGTTAAATTTAGCTGCATCAAAACTAGCGTCTGCAACAACAATTTATGAGGTCAATGACCCTTTTGTTTATTTTTAGCCAAGTCAACAACCTTTGTTTACATTTAGCCAAGTCCACAACCTTGGTTTACATTTAGGGCCAGTGACCCTTATGTTTACATTTTTTGGGGCTAATGACCACTTTGTTTACATTATGAGGCCATTGACTTTATTGTTTACATTTATCCGAGGTCATTGACCCCTTTGTTTACATTTTATGAGGTCAATGACCCTTTTGTTTATTTTTAGCCAAGTCAACAACCTTTGTTTACATTTAGCCAAGTCCACAACCTTGTTTACATTTAGGGTCAGTGACCCTTATGTTTACATTTTTTGGCGCTAATGACCACTTTGTTCACATTATGAGGTCAATGACCTTATTGTTTACATTTTACCCATTTGCAAATTGTTCAGATAGGACTACTATAGCATATAGTTGTCATACAAACTGAGCGACAAAAAAAGCCCCTGAATAGAAAACTTTTTATTTCACAAAATATCTTCATATAAGTTGGCATGAACCAAGGCAACGCAACAATCTTCGAATAAATTGTTCTGATTGGATTCTTTGGCATATAGCCATCGTTCAAGCTGACCGATTATGTTAGCTTAGTCCGTTCACGTTCATGGTAATAGCAGGTCGAATTTGCCATAAGTACCCTTCCGAATTTTACTCATTTTTTCAAATTAATGGTAATTTCTTATTACATAAAAATTTAATTAATAATTATTTTGTTTAATTATTTTATTTTTATTTAATATAAAAAAAAATAGGCTGCAATTTGCGATCATTCTTCAAAAGTATTATTATTATTCCCCTTTACAATATACTTGTAAAATAGTAATATATTTTTACATTTTTTTATAATTTTTTCTTTAGTATTTAAAACCCGAGCAGGGTATACTACGTTTGCGACATAGTTTGTAACATCCAGAAGACAATGTTGGATACCCTATATAGTTATTTAGGGGCTAGCTCAAGTTTTCACGCGATTTTATCCATTTTAGACGCAAAGATCACTATTACTAGAAAATGCACATACTAGCCGATGTATGTACAAATGTACTTGTATATGCAGTATAAAGTCAGACGGAAGTTTGAAAAGATTTCTGTTAGGTATATGGGAGCAAAGGGAAGTATTCACCTCATTCCACCTATTTTTGACACACAGACATATTATTATCAAAAAGTGTTCTCTCCGTATTTCAATTATGTGTCTTACACATTGACCGATATATTAGGTACAAAGTCAGCTATAGGCACGTATTTTTCGGTATCTGGGGGCTTGAACAGTTATGGTTAGAGTTTGACAATTTTTAGACTTCAGATGGCATACCTTCAAGGCACTATTTGTGCAAAGTTTAGTCCCGATTTATTCATTGGTGCTTGGTGTGTATACTGGAAACTGAAAGAATCAGATGGAATTTGAAGTGGTGATATATCGGAAGTAGGCGTGGTTTTTGTACAATCTCGCCCATTTTTACACTGTTTAAGTGTTGTTTAACTCCATATCTATCTCGATTTCTCGGTTTTAGGTGATACAAACAACCGTTGGCTGAACAAAAATATTATACTCTATAGCAACATGTTGCAATAGTATAACAAAGTTAATGAAGTTAATGAATAAATGCTGACATTAGCTGCGATATTTAATAATACTTTGCATGCATGAATTACGATGTAATCTTATGTAATCATAATTGTGTTCACTTCAAGTAAGCGAAGCAATTTATGTTTAGAGCCGACCTTAAGTAAATCACACAATCGCATACAAATATGCAAGCAAATGATAAAGATATAGCTGAGTATACATATGTATATGCATATGTATGTATGCCTGCATATAATGCCGAGCACACTTATGGCCATAGGTCGCACATGGCAATATCTCGCATGTGTATGCACATATGTATGTAGTTCTATCTGAACACTCCCAACGCAGTTAGACTCATTGCATAATGACTTAATTACTGATTTATAGAAAATTTATTCTAATTAATTGCATATTCCTAATAACTTATTAGACAATGAGGTAATGAGTAATGAGGCAGTAGCATATATAAATATGTATAATATGTATGTATTATTTAAGTAATTAAGCCTTTAGGAAAGCAGTGTGCCTCGACTTCAATTTCAAACGTACCGCATATAGTTGTTGTAAATACACATGTACAACAGTAACGACAACAAATTATGCTTATCACATATATACATGAGCTCATATTATATAAATTAAATTGCCCTTAACAGTGTGATAATATAATAACAACAAACACAAGTGGTATAATTCGAGTGCAACTGCACCGAAATTTCACACTTAGTCAACTTGTTATTGACTAAGCAACTGCCAGTCAGATCTTCAGTTCACCTCATCAGTCATTTTCTTGCGTATGCTGACCCTTCTGTTGCTTCCTAGTGAAGATACTGTGTGTCTTGCGCACACATACTTGTATGTATATGTGTATTTGTGTGTATATATACATATATATATCAAAGGTAGAAAATCTAGACAGATGAGAATGTGAGAGTGGGCAGCGTATAATAATGAGCATAGAGAGAATATATGTATATCATACAATAAATAACTACAACTCAGCAGGAAAATTCGAATATAAACTAAAGAAGTCTAAACCTCCCCAGTAAAAATGTTGGGGAAAGTTATGGTCTCTTTTTAATCAATATTAGTAAAGAATCACACTGTACTAAGCGAATAATTGTCATTTTATTTTATTGAAAAAATTTGCTATCTTATCAATATGTTGTACTCTCTGACGAAATTTGACTCGGACTGACAAAAGCTTATTTAGGTTTCCTTTCAGCCATTACAAGCATGACAAAGCTTAAACCAATTTACCATACACTTGATATTATATAAGCCTCGGCTGTGATGGCTTTCAGGGCCTTCAGCGAATTAAAAGAATGTATCTCATATTAAATAATATACCGTAAGGGCTACCGGATGCACAAAACCCTTAATATTGACTTATGGAGTCTAAAGGAATATATGAACAGACTTTTAAAGTTGTTTTTCATCAAACCGCAAGAAAACCTGAAATATTATCGAGGCATCTCACTTAGAGCTTTAAAAGTAACTCAAAGAATGGAGGTTCCCACATTTGATTTATGGGAGTATGAAGCGATTTTTACAAATTTTTTGTCAAAGCCGATGTTTCTAATTTCAAATTGAGAGAGCACGAAGGAAATATAGTTAAAATTAATTCAATAAATGCTGAGGTTTGCGTTTTTACCTGAAAGTAAAGAATTTCGGTAAGAATTGATAGTTGCTTGGCAGAGTTGGTAAATGAGTTAAAGTTTGTCTTCTTGTTCTTCCCGAAGTCAGTTCGTCTCATCATCCTGATCATGTTAATATGTATGATATCAACAACTATAAAAACTCGTTCTAATTGTGAACCCAACCATGCCATTGTTTACTTTCATTTTAAAAGAGAGTTTTTAAACAAGCTTCAAAAATCCACAGCGGCATTTAATGGGGTTCGTCTACCAACGCGGTTTGAAAAAATCGATTTTTTTTTCTTGTATATTTCTGATGTAGCCATAACTTGCAATATAAATATTTGAGCGAAAGCATGTTAACATAAATTATTATTAATGTGTGTAGTGATGTTTTTTAAGTTCACGATTTTGGAGTTAGAAACAAGTAACTAAAAATTTTTTGGGTTTCAAGGTTTTCAAGCTCAAATCTATTGCCAAAAAGTCGACGAAATTTGAGCGCGAAAGTAGACAATTTTCTTAAGGCTTGTAATGGAGAGGTTTATTCAAAGAAATTTAATTATCTGCTTCCACATAGACACTCCATATTGTATGGAGTATGTTTAGCAAAGTTTAATGAATCTTTTTCTTCTATAATTTATTTTCTTATATATAATTGTAAATAATATTGTAAATGCAATTGCGTTTTGCATGGCATATTTTGATGCATAATGGTGGCATTTTCTTGCAGGGATTGCATACACTGAATTCTCTGTCTTACAATGGAATCATAGTTTAATTAGCATCACACAGTTTAGTCCGTCATAAGCGCATTTTTCATTTAGTAAATAAACTAGACGCATTTTGTTGATTTTCTGCTTGTTTTTGTTGTAAGAAAATAGTGTCTACTTGAATTATTTGAATTATAACATATAAATTATTTCAGATAGGCAAATAATTAATCAGATTCACTGCTGCTTATGGGTCTAGGTTAATAGCAATGACTGTTGAATTGTGGACTCATTCACACAAATATCTGGTATATATGTACATATGTAGTATGCATGTTGCTTGGCCACAAGCTGATAAAGTGTCAATAATTTTACATAAGCTTTATTGGCATTTGAACAAAAACAATTGATATGAGTGTAATAAACAAATAACACATCATATTTTTTTACTTGAGTGATGTATTGCTAATGGAAATATAATCGTGGATCATAAAGAGGCTTGTGTCATAGCCCTAAGTTTTGACTTTGATTTTCGTTTGCTTAGTAAAAGATAGACTTCTGATTTCGCCAAATTAACAGCAGCCCGTGCATTTCCGCCAGTGTGAAATGGTTCCATTGTATAACATGAAATTTGGATATAAAAAAATTCTTTATATATACAGCAAGCTCACAAATCAAATTAACAGCGCCACTCACTTAAATCAATCCAATTTATAAAATACTGCTTATTCAATTTAGTTATTATGATATTTTTTGCTTTTTTTGCAATAGTTATTTGTTTTGACTAATACATAATTTAGTTTTCAGTTCATAGTAATTGCCACTTAGTGACCTTAAAGCGCTTAGCGAGCATATATGTAAAGGCTTAGCATTAAATCAATAGCTCAATTTTAAATATTTTTGACGAAAATATCACCTGCGAACAAACACAAAAAAAAAAAATTAAACAAAAAAAAAAAAAACAAATGAACAAAAAAGCATGACTAAAATAGGTAAATAGCACAATAACAAATAGCAAAAAATGAAAACAAAAAAAGTTTATTTGTGCTCTTACACGAGTGTCGCTTTTTTCGGCATATTGGCATAATAATGCCATTCTGCACACATTTTCCTATTTCCATAAGCTTATTTAGTAAAAAAAATATTGTTTGTAGCGTTTATATGCTGTCATGTTAAGGTTGTGTTGTTGTTGTTTTTTTTTCAAATGCCTCAACTAAAGAGAATATGTTGCTTAAGTGAAAAATTGTGTATTCAAAATTACAGTGTTAAGCAAAATATTAGTACCGATTGATAGTGTGGCGCAAATCTCTTATCTAAACTAAAAAAAATATAAAACAAAGTAATCGTAAGAGATGTAGAGTTATAGATATGAGTAGTAAAAAGTAATATTTTTTATCGCTTTGTACTGTGAAAAATAGGTTCTTAGACAACTATAAGAAAGTATCTCCAAATACGAGATCTTAATTGTAACTGAAAGTTCCTCCGCCTCACAGTTATCTATTTTTGCTTATTATCATAGTATCGACACTGAAAAGAGGTTAAAAACGTTGAATAAAGGGTATGAAACCGGCTACTTTTAGATGAATATTCGCAAATCACAGTTCTGAACGAAATTCGTGCTTCCTACCGAAATTGAGCGAAGCCGAAGAAATTATGGTAGTTTACAAATTTAAATGGATTGTTTAGAGATATAGTAAAATAAAACACGAAAAAGCGTTAACTTCGGTTGCACCGAAGCTATAATACTTTACACAAATACAAACGCTTATTTACCAGAACTTTGAGCGGTCAGTTTGCGTGGCAGCTATATACTATAGTGGTCCGATCTGAACAGTTTCTTAGGAGATTACACCATTGCATTGGGTAACAACTCATGCTGACTTTCGAGAAGATATCTCGTACTGAAGCTTTTCATACAAGCACTTTATTCCGAACGTTCAGTTTGTATGGCAGCTATATGCTATATAGTGGTCCGTTATCAGTCCTTCCGACAAATGAGCAGCTTTTTGGTAAAAAAAAGGGCGCATGCAAAATATTAGATCGATATCTCAAAAAATTAGGGACTTGATAGCGTATATACAGACAGACAGACAATCAGACGGACATGGCTAAATCGAATTAACTCGTCACGCTGATTATTTAAATATATACATTAAAGGGTCTCTGACGTTTCCTTTTTATAAATTTCAGGGTATAAAAATATAATCAAATGCCCATATTTTGTTCAAAAATTTTATGCCATTTAGTGGTAGAATATATTTTCGGGTATACAAAGTTGTCCTATTGATTTGTTCTGAAGAAAGTCAGGTATGCTTAACCACAACAAAAAAGCTACCACCATGAGAATACACAACTCAGATCATCAAAAAATAACTAGTTTGCCCGAGAAATTCAAGATCTTCCATGAGCATGTCCAGTCAATCTGGTATCTCTCGTAAATAAGAAATAAACCAAGCTTTCTTCAAAAACGAAAAAAATTTCACCAACACTATAATTTTGCACGCAACTGTATGCAATTTAATACGAAACAGAGAGACCATGAGTGCGCGTACACAAAAATAAACATGACTATTTTTCAACAATTCTGTTTTTAATCTTTTTAATTAACGCCTGCATGCCACAAATGTCATGATGCTAATCTCAACAGCTCAATGGCTGAGCGACTAAACGATTTCCATGAAACGCTAAGCTCATTTCAATATTGACACTACAACAGAATGGCTCTACATTTTCAGCGGTGTTTACGTGTACTGCTGCTGCTTATCGCGGTGATTAGCGCCGTGTCAAGCGCTCCGCAACAAAAACAAACGGCACAAAAGCAGGCAGTGGTCAGTGGACCAGCAGGTGGTGGGCAAGCGCGTGTGCAAGGTGAGTAAAGAAAATAAGTGGAAATAAGTTTAAAAATGAAAAAAAAATGTCTATTTTCGAAGATCCGAAATGTCAGCAGCCGAAGGAGCCCGGTCCGTGTCGCATGAATCTCGATCGTTACTACTACAATTCGCAAACGCATGCCTGTGAACTCTTCAAGTTCGGTGGCTGTCGTGGCAATGATAACAAATTTGGATTTTTGAAGACTTGCGAAGATGCTTGTGTGATAGCGAAAACAACAACGAACAGTGCAGCACCTGGCAACGCTAAAGCGCCAGCACCAGCACCAGCAGCTGTACCAGCCGTAGCACCAGACGCAGTGCCCAAGAACCCCAAACCAGTTGCGATTCCAACAAATACAAACGCAAAGAAAACACCCATCGCAGCACAGGCAAAGTAGATTTGAATATGGAGTTGGAGAATGTTCTCATGTGGGTGCCTACGCTATTAAATTATGAAGTGGTCGATATTGTACAGTGTTGAATACTATTTTGAGATTTTTTTGTACCAAGCATTAGCTGAGAAGTTTTGAAATATTCTATGTTCTAATACGAATAAATTGAAGAAATGATAGATGAAACATTTTCCTCATTGGTTGTCGTCACTATTTTTCATTAACTTGTATTATAATGAGGTGTTTTTCATAATTATGACAACTGAAATCGAGCTTAATTAAAGTTAAAATAGTGTTCAGAACTTCCAACATGACTTGTTCAGAACAAAATATGTAAAATAAAATATAGATGTAGAGAGTCATAGAAAGAAACCCTGGGAATCCGAGGAAGATTCATTTTGAGCAAATCGCGCAGAAGAGATGGAATACGACAGCAAACTGCAGGATAATAAAGCAGATATGGACCAAATATGACAGATATAAGACAGAAATAGAAAAAAGGACCGACTATCCAGGTTCAGAAAAAGACAGACTTACTATAACGGGCACTGGCCTTTTGGAGAGCATGCGCTAAAAATGGGCCTGCCTTATAACAATAGTAGTCGCAGCTGCAAGTAAGAAGCTAATACGGAAATGGTCTTCCACTTTCTTTGCGAATGCCCAGCTTTATAACAAATCCGATACAATATACTTAGAATCCATCGTGTACGAAATCTTGAATGGTTGTCTACTAAAAGCAAACGGAATAGCAAGACAATAAGGTTCTACGATAGTACATCAAAATGTATACCTACCTACCTATGTGCTCGTTTACATATATGATAACTTGATAATGATCTGATAAAGCATTCAGGATTCAGGAGAAACAATGATGGCAGTCTGAAAAAATTTTATTTTTTGATTGATATTCAAGCAGAAAAGTCTGTAGGAGCATAATTTTAAATATACAATTATATTATATATATATTAAATTTTAGTAATTCATCATTCTACAATTGTAGAGATTCGCTGAAAAAAAAAAGTGTAAAAAATTGTTGCAGATTACCGTATCCCGTGAGAACTCCGAGCCCTGGGAAATGGTTCCCGATCTCCTCCCCAATCAATCTCCCTCACTGTATATATTTATATATATACCGATACGCAAATAAGAAAATGCGCCTAAATGTAGGCAGTGGTTGTCTCCACTATGTAGTATTAAAGTATGGAGTCAAAGATTTGCTATTCAAATACTAATCTATTGGGTTTTTGATGGAAGTATTTGAATAAAATCAGCGCTGTTTTATCAATTTTTGATTCTTTTTGACCGTAGGTCATTGTACCGAAAATATCTTCCAGTAGTAGTTTTTTAGCATCGTGTGAGATCGCCTATAACTCAAAAAATATTCAATTTTTTTCTTCAAAACTGTTACTGTGTATACCTAAAATGTGTGTAAATATCCATTAAAGTTTTAAAGCCATTGATAGAATAGTTTTGTTTTTAATTCTCAAAACTCGCCTTACACTAGGTGTGCCCTTTAAGGTTTTTCCCGAACAAAACTAGCACTTTTTAAATTCAACAAGCTCGTACTGCTAACACACCAGGCTGGCTGGTAAGTAAATTAAGAGAGTATGTATATAAAAATTTATGGCGCTTAATCTGAATAGTTGAGTTGCCTGCATTACTGAAATTATGATCCATATATTTTTCCACTTATTTTTCATATGTCTACCGCAAGAAAAAAAGGGATCGCCATATCTTGTTTGGAATAAAAGGTGGTGTTTAAAAATAGCATACATTTTAATTGATGATGAATGAAAGACCATTATATAATATCAACCATTCATTATTTAGTGTATTACTGCACTTTTAATGGTTTATCATATAATATATATTACCAGACTTTACTAATTTTCATATCCTAACAAAAGATGCAATTATATAATATTATATATAAATTGCTGCGTTATCTCTAATAGTCCATGAGACAAGCATATTAAATTTACTAAAGGCAACTCATGCTCACTTTTCAAATTTAATTTAAAAAATTTACACAATAGCGCTTTGTGGGCCTGACAATATCCTGATTCCACTCATGAATGAACATAACCTTTGCATTTAAGAGTTTTATTTAAATAATATATCAAGCTTCAGCGAGCGATCGCAGTTTAATGAATTGCCACTTGCACAGATGGACGAACGCACGACTGTACAAACAAGTTTCGCGACTTAGTTTCGCGTCTAGTTTTTTATTAATTATTATGATAAATTTATATCGGTCTCGATTATTTTTAGGCATTACAACCGTTGAGATGAAAAGTATTACACGCCTGTGATATATTTATGACATAATATGTTACGAGAACAATGAAGCTTTTAGGTTATAAATCTATTGTTTAACGTCGATTACATTTTCACTTTATCATTTCAAATGAAAAAAAAATCGAGTGTTTTATTTTTATTACACATTATTTATACTCAGTACTCGATTGATTGAATAAACTAAACTGAATTCAAAAATGCGGTTGCGGCTTTGAGCGCGCATCATAAGATGAAATTACACTCGGAATTATAATTAGCCGTTTGAGAAGAAAAATCCCAGTAACCGCATTTAAGGCAATATATGTTTACACTGACTCATTGTGTGTGCGCAAATATAGAACATAAAACAGACATTAGCATTTTATTAATTAAATTAGCATATTACTTATGCGAACGCATTTACAATTTATAATTGTACACTTTAGAAGAACATATTGACGATTTAAGTGTTATAGGAAGGCTACAGCCGCAGCATACAAAAACGACTTGTAGTAGAACGCCGACAGATTGAAAACACCCGCACATTAAAAGTGATTGCCGAACGTTGAAAGCCAATCACCGACAGTCGTTGACATTGATAAGTTTCGTTGCCGCGTTCGACTAAAACGTAAACGCTGCCATTAAGCCGGTTGCTACAATATGTTTATAGCTTCCAAGCTGAATGAAGTAGAGCTTCCTAGCGCATTTTTTGCTTGCGTGTTTTGCCGCGTAGGCGAGTACGCGCACCTGAGTCTGGTAAATTCGCCGGTGTTGCGAGCTCGTTAAGCGACAGCTAATGCCACCCGCAGCACACCTGCTCGCAACTCGCTTATGCTAACCGCGCGTCGCAGCGCGAGTACCCGCCACAACTACTAATGAGCTTGCGCGTATCACCGATGACAGCACTTGGCGCTGCTTCGCGTCAATTGCCGCGTCGCGCCAACAGTTGCTGAATACGGCGAACGTGGTTATCAGCGTAATTGCGAAGCATTTGCATACTGTTTGTGTGGTGGATGGGAAAAAAATTATGGAAAAAAAAAAAGAAAAGACAAAAATAATAACAATATTCAGCAGCGAAAGGGTACGCGCACTAATCGGAAGTTTTGAAGGTGGCGGTGTCTGTGACGCCAGACGCGCTCAGCCAGACAACGCTCGACGTGGCAGTACTTAAAACGCCTCGAAGGTGCTCGGTGGCATCATTGTGCCATTAGAATCTCAAGCGTGAACAGCAAGGCGAGAGGAACAAAATAAGATTTTAAATAATATTTTCAAATCCCAAACAAAAACATACAACAAATTCGAACACAGTATGAAATTCGTGCTAAATCTGTGCTTGGTCGCCTGCTTCATTGCCGCACTGCAAGCGGCCGCGGTGGAGCCTTCGACAACAAAGTCCGTAGCCCATGATGTACCAACCACAGTCACAGCAGAGGATGCTACCAACGATTATGGTGCGTAGTACTAATAATGAGTGAATTCTTAAATTAAATTCTAATATGGTGTTATCCTTTAGTTCCCGATGTATGCTACCAGCCTAAGGAAATCGGTCGCTGCTTTGGTATTTTCCCTCGTTTTGCCTTCAATTTGAATAATCGTCGTTGTGAGAAGTTCGTTTATGGCGGTTGTGACGGCAATTCGAACAATTTCGAGAGCAAAGCGGCTTGCGAAAGTGTATGCTTGTATAAGCATGATGAATTATCAGACGAAGATAGCTCGACTACAGAGAATACCAGCGATGATGCTGAGCCAGCACCTGTAATTCCCGCTGATGAACAACCAGCTGTTGCAGCTTAAAGCCGCTGAGAAGCAATTTTGCGAAATATGTATTTAGTATTATATGCCGTTGATTTACAAAAATATTGTTGTTAAAATTTTGTGAAACGTGTGAAATTGGTGTGAAAATATAACTTATTAAATAAATAAGTAAACATTGAATTATATAAGCAAGAATTAATACCGATTTACAAGTATTAACTGATAAACGTCTAATCTAACTGAGAAGTATCAAATTGATAGCAATTTTAAGGAAAATATGTTCAAAAATAGAGAAAGCACGATGGACCAGCGAAAAATTAAAACTATCAAGTTATGAAATTGTGAACAAAATCTGACAGCTGTCAACTCTCAGGTTATCAGCGTGTGAAAACTATTGGCTGGAAAAGTTGGGTTCCTAAAAGGTTGTTGTTGTTATAGCGGCAAAAACATTCCTGAAATAACTATGAAGAATGCTGCCGAGTTGACAGTCCTTGGCCAAATAAAAATTCGGGTCCGTTCCGGGTTACGTAGACCCGACGTCGTGGGAACGGGATCTTATAAGATCATTCAAATTGGTTAGATGAGCATTCGTTGTAGATATATCGAATGGAAAATACAATTTTGAGATTTACTTTATGTAATAAACTTTTATATAAAATTTTGATCTATGACGATCGAAAGCAACAGTATTTGGAACACTTGGTTGTATATATTGTATATACATAGCTTTATAGCCAATTTAAGAATTAAAACACAATATTTTCATATAAATACCAACCAATTATCATAAAATAAGATCGAATAGCATGCTATAAAAGCATTAACAAAAGCAATCTATTAAAGAAGTGCGCCAAAACTTTGATGTCAACGAAATCTGCAGTTCGATTTTAATGAACTGTTTCAACAATCTTAAGCAAAACTTTAATCTCTTAAAAGTAGCTTTGAATAAACTAAAACTTATGTAAAGATATGGACAAACTATATAGCACAAATTACTAAGTTTAGTCGGTATAGTTTTAGGTTATGTATTTTGTATATATATCAGTAATTCTAACTTAAATATTCTATCATTATCGCTCTATCTGTCAGGAACTTTAGCAAAAGAGAGCACCGAATAGATTATATGCGTACTGCTAAAGATATGAGCCATAAGAGTGCCTCTAATAGCAAATATATTAAGATAAGTAACAAAAAAAATCCATTAATTTTGTAGTAGATGGTTTTTGTAAATGCGATTGGGCGTTAGAAAGATAAGATGTTGCAATTTTTGAGCGTCAAAGATGAACACCAGCAAAATGAAAATACGCCATATTTTACAGTTTTTCTTCGATTATTACGATTGATTGAAAAAGTTATCCTGATACTTTATCAACCAATCATGCACAATTTCGGCTTTGTAGATTTCGTTCCGGTAATTTTGGTGACGCTCTCCATGGCCAATTGTTACAAATATCGCTAAAATTATTAAAATTATCGAGTTGATGTAAGCAATGCTTCGATTGCCCAGGAGCCAAACGTTGAACAAAAAACTGTTTGAAACTATTTAAATTAGGCTGGATACAAAAAGAGTCTCAATGTATGGTGCAAAAAAACCTCATGGACCCAATTCCCAATTCCCACATGGAAGATTTTGCTATGTGCTTGGTGGCATTGGCAAGGAATCATCAACTATATGTACTGTCAACAATTGGAAAGTCTGAAAGAAGCAGTCGTCTAGAAGCGGCCAGCTTTCGCCAATAGAAGAGGAATTGTGTTACATCAGGACAACGGCCGTTTACCGATAGGGACTCGCCAGAAGCTCTGGCATTTTCGATTGGATGGTTCTTTTGCATCCAACTTATAGTCCGGACCTGGCACAAAGCGACTACCAAGTAGTAATTAGGGCCTTCCAATGCCTGTCCATCGCAAATGATTTTTTAGATTACTAAATTATATTAATGGGTTTAAAACAGAGCTGGCATTGTGGATAGGCGCTTCGTAAAGATTTTATGCATGTACCATATCTATCAGAGACCTAACTAGATCTTTATATAAAGTTTTAAACGCTACCAAGCAAATAAATCCGCCGCTAACACGCCTCGGCTGGTAAGTGGAGGAAGAATCAAACGCAAATGTGCCAATTCGAGCTTCGTCGGACAATGCCTTCTAATAGTTCTAACTCTAGCGTAGATATGTATGCTTAAATATATAGAATGTATCAATATTGGCTAAAAATCAGTGACGTACACTCGTGCGCCGGGTTTTTCTGGGCGAAGAGTAAACTTTTTGCCGAATTACTATTTTTTCGCCTACCATAAGCACAACAATAATACGGAATAATTGCTTCAAAAAAAAATTTAGCATTTTTGTATTAGTATGTGTATGTACCTACATATATAATATATAGTATTTGTAAATAAGTATGTAGAGTTTATTCCGTGCGAAATAACCCAAACATTTGATTTCATATGACCACCAATACATGTATGTAGGGTATGTATGTGTATGCCGGTATATACGTGAAATCAGCTAATAAGTTTTGTCATTGCGAAAAAGCAACAATAAAATCTTAATTGTATTTACATCGCTTATAAGTGAGTATTTTAATAATTACGTTTAAATACACACACACACACGCATTGGCATATTGACTTAAAATTTCACATGAACACACCCAAAAACTTTAGTACAAGTGCAAACAAATATATTTACATATAAACAAACAAATTTATAGAGAGCAGATAATGTCAGAGCATACAATGTTAGTGTCGAGTACTTCAAGGGTCGCACATTAACGATATAAATTCAGTTCGAAGTGAAGCTTAAAGGCAACAAGTTTAAAGTTGACGAATTAAATTGTGCTTAAGACACCTACAAAAGTAAATAATCAAAATGAAATTCTTCGCAGTAATTTTGGCAGTGTTCGCAGTGATCGGCTGCGCGCTGGCGCTTAAGGATCGTAAGTGTACTCTCGGTTGACGCACAACTGGAGAGGGAGTCAGACGGTGTTAACCACTCAAATTTAACTTTCGTGATATTCCTACAGCCATCTGTGGTCAGGAGCACTCGGCCGATGGCACTGGACTGATCAAGTGTGCCGCTTATATGCCCTCGTGGACATTCGATGCCACCAACAACAATTGTTTGAGCTACATTTATGGCGGCTGCGGCGGCAATGACAATCGTTTCACCACACAGGAAGCTTGCGAGCAAAAATGCAAGGAATAAATGCGACAAGAACAAGGAAAGAAATGTGTCTCTTATTTTGGGACACAATTTTAGGGTCTAATTGTAATGTGATATAATTAAAATGTGGATAATAAAACAGGCAACAAATATTTCAGGAAAAATATGTGATTTTGCAGAAACATAAAATACTTGACTGAAATTGATATTTACCATATATTCACGAGCAGCGGGTAATTAACTCAAAAATTTTGATTACTGAGTGAAGTGGATAGAGAGGAAGAGTGTTGGTTTGTGGATGTAACATTATAAATACTTTTTTATGTTCACACTACAACCGGTTCTCGAGCTTTTTCCAAAACGTATATAATTACGGGAATATTTAATGCCGTTACAACACACAAATGTTAATATTATACTTTGTAGAAAATGCTCTCTGACTCACTGTTAAATTAGAGATGCTTTGAAGCGAAAAATACATAAAGGCAATTACCCTTTGAATACAAAAAATAAATAAAATATTTAGGGAAGTACCGCCGGCACAAAACATCAATTTTATTATTGATTTAAGTAAAGAAGCGGTAAATTAAGGAGTGACCGAAGATCAGATAATCTTAATTTTTTTAAGAAATATAGGCGTGCTTAATATTTCGAGACGTCCGAAAAACTTTTCTTCAGTCTAACTTTGTTTTAGAAGCGTTAGCTTCATAAAGATCACTTACTTAATAACATAAATATCTTCTTTAAATCAAGCGGATTGATACAAATTAGTATCCTTAGTACATAGAGTGAAGGAAAAGCGTGATGGTGATGAATTTTGTCAATTTAGTTGTGAAATCGCATATATCATAAGTAAGGCGATCCTTATGTTCGATATATGCGGTTTGGTTGGATCAGTCCTAGTATAAAATTTTTGAAAGAATCAATATGAAAATTTACCTTTTCAAATAAAAACGTGATTATTACACAGTTTGGTACATTTCCCAGTATGGGTTAATTCTAATGCCAGTTTGGTTAACATTGCAGTAATACCTTAAGATATAAGCTCATTAAACCTAGTAGAGAAGTGAACCACGCCCACTTTTCAAAACCAAATTCACTAGTCTTGCCATTGCACTTGCAAACCACTATGTTAAATATAGCTTTTGTAGGTTAATCGTTGAATGAGATTATATTTTCTCGAGATAAATACGTTTTGTGGGTGGAACAGTGATCTGATTTCGCCCATATACAATACCAACCTCGTCAAAGTATCGAGAATCTTACCACATAAATAAATATTTTTCTAATGTTATCGAAAGCATGCACAAATGGATGGAGGTAAGGCCGGACGAACAGATGAACAGACATACATATATTCAGAAATCAAATGATCTCATTATTTCGATCATTACACCCTGAAGAGAGTATGTTAAGTTTTCAACGAAATTTGTAACACTCATAAGGAAACATCGGAGACCGTTTGGTTGGTTGAAAAGTGAGGTGCGCAAGCGTCAGATCGCAGGCGATCCCGGGTGGTAACCAAATTAAGCCATATGCAATAACTCAGTGGATTTGGTAAACAGTATGATTATTTTCCACTCCAGCTGCCTAATGTCTCCTAAGTTGGAACATTGGGAGCCGTGGAATGTGTTTCGTCTTATCCGGCTGAAGGCTATGCATTCACATAGATAATGTTCCAGCGCCTCATCATCTTCGGAATTCACTTTTCCCATTTACTGAAGGAAGAATCTTAAGGGTGGGTGCCCTGCAATGACCCCTACAAGACCCGGATACACTTTAAAATGCATATGTATAAAAATGATCAGCGCGAAGAGCTAAGGCGATCTAGCAATGTCCGTCTGTCTGCCTGTCTGCGTGTCTGCCTGTATGTACGCGAACTAGTGTTTTTTTTTAGTTTTCTAGATATCGAACTGAAAATATGGATACGATCTGTTTTTCTAAGAATCTGCTCACCGATAACGGACCGCTATAGGATATAAGTGTCGTACAAACTGATCTACCAAGACCGTGAAACCTTTTTATTTGTCAAGATATATTCATAACACTTGGCATGTATTCAGCCATCAAAGCATACAATAAAACGTTTTCCGTTAGTTGTTACAAACAAACATTTGGTTAACAAGACATTTAAACAACATTATTGCGCGAGTACATAATATATGGTAAATATTTCTTTATTCGGGCCACACTTCAACAAGAGAAACACATAGCCAAGCGTTTCATAAAAATCCATCAGTAGTGCAAAGTAAATGCTGCATGAACCAAGTTATTATCAATAAAATTAAAAAAAAAACATTAATTAATTTATTTTAATAATTGCTTGTTTTGTTAGATCATTTAATGATTTATAATAAATTTATTCGCTTTATCAACTACTTTTTTAATTAAGTATAAAATAAAACGCCACCTTCACAAAATTTCAACTTTTCATTCGAATTTATTTTGCCGTTTTAAATAATATTATATATGTATATGGACTTATGTACATAATATGTGTGACACAGGCATACACAACTGCATATGAGACGCTTTTGTGTGCATGTGTGCTTACATTCGTAAATACATATGTATATGTATGGTATGTCTATGCTATGGTGAATATTTAGTTCGAAGGCTATAGTTGCTTACAATTTCAATATTTATTTAATAATATTTATTTCAATATTTTACTCACTTATTTAAGTATTGTTAAGCTTAAATATTTATATATAACTATAAGTATATTTCACTTGTGTGTTTGCTTGCTTATTTACATATGTTTGTTATTGTTTTTCCAGTGTTATCGCGTTGTTTGAAGCGCTGATAAGCGCTTGAACTCGGCTAAACTACGTTTAAAATTTTATTTTTGTTTGTTTTTATTATATTTTGTTTGATTTTAAATATTTTGTTTAATTTTTTTTATTTTAATTTTTTTTTTATATATTTGTTTAATATTGTTAATTATGCAATGTTGATTTTAATTGCCTAATACTATTATTTCTATTCTGCTCTTCATTGTTTGTCTAATATTTTATTGTTGTGAGCAAATTAGTATGTTAACTCACTAGTGTTGCTGTAAATCATTAAATAATAATTATTTTTTTTACAACTTCATGTGCTTTTAAATTATTTTTATTTGCATCTGCTTGCATTTTTTTGTATTATATATAATATTCAAGTATGCATTATATATTACTTACTATTTTATGTCTATTTGTTTATTATATTATGGATTTAATTATGTAAGTGCAGCACTGCACTTTATTATACGCTAACTGTTTATTCTAATATTTGCTTAACGTTTTTTAATATTTTTAATTCCTTTTTTTTTCAATATTTTTGTTCATTATTTTTTAGCTTTTTTCTCCACTTCACTAGATTACAATGCTGTGTAATTATAATGCCATTCATTTGAATGCGTCTCATTGTTTCTGTGGTGAGAATCGTGATCTGGTTCGAAAGCAAGTGATTACTTTCCACTAAGTCATTGTTGTTCTCATATTGTGTTTTCTATTGACGCCACTTGTTAAGACAAAAACAAAGTTAACAAAAGTAAAAGTATTGTTCTTTATAGTGCTGAGATGTGTTATTGTTTAATAAGCAAAATTAATTCCAATGAATGTAACAAAAAATGAAGCAAATAAAGAAAAATGGTAATTTGGAATTTGTAGTGCTCATTACAGCTACGTCGTTTGGTAGTTTTGCAAATAAATTTTAGAAAACGGACCTTGGGCATGGAATTACTTTATTATCATAAAAAACAATACAAAACAGTTAGAGAAAAATAGTATTAACATAACATTAACAACATATAAAGTAAATTTTATTACAAGTTTGACGTTTTATGTAGAATCTTTTTAAGGGCTTGGTAAAACCTCTAATGATCAAATTTTGTAGTTTATACAGCGGTTTGCTCCAGACACAAAATGTTGGTCTGGCTCTTCTTATTATATATTATTATTCAAAGGTTGTCATAACAGTAAATATAATTAAAGCATGCTGGTCTTAAGCTCACAGGTAACTTGTGAGCAGCTCCGCTTTGTTAAACGATAATACCATCGAAATGTAACAGAAATCATTAATGAAATTTATCCAATTTAACATTAGAAGCACTCAACAGCTCTTATAGCTCAAAGTCATACCAAAGATCAATATTTTTTTAGAAATACCAAATCGATCATTCAGTAACTTTTTTAAGAACATTTAGTTCTTTGTAAAGATTTCCTGTGTTCAAAACTCATATATTTGACGTATGACTTATGACGATGAGTAGATTGTACTGACAAAAACTAGCATTTGGAGGTGATAGCGTTTTGCCAGGATATAAATAAAAATTTGATAAAATGGTGGACTTAGTCGTTTCTATCGCACTTTTTCATTGAACGTTGCTTACTCTTACAGATATTATCAGGTTCCACATTTATTATAATAGTTTTCTGATGAATTCTATTTGCATAGGTTTATCTCAAAAAATAGGAGTCATTTTATACAAAATGAATGAAAGTAGTAATTACGGAAATTTAAGAGAAGTAATAAAAAATTTGGAGAAATTTAAGAGTAGTAACAATAAAACATTAATTAAAAAAAAACTGAGTACCAACGCTTTAGACTTATTCTGATGGATTTTTATGAAATTTAGTTCCATATTAACAGTTCAATGGAATTTTAGCTCGTACACAAATATATATATATATTTTGAATCAACTGGACCCATAGAAATTTTCAGTAGAGCTCTATTCAACATTATTATGATAATTGCTATAGAATATGTAAATTATACATAAACTCTGTATAGTATGGCTGCAGACAAGTATTGCCTACATTCTGGCGCAACGATAAAAAAGCTTGGTGACCAAGAGAAAATAGAAGTAGCATACCGAAAGTCCAAAATCTGCGTCTTAATTGCCATGTAGATTCTTCATATGTTAATCGTATTTACATTCACCCAACATGTCATGTGGGTAATTCGATTTTAAGTTTTCTTACAAATCACAAAATCAAGAATATGACAAAGAGCATAACCGACAACACAGCAGGGCAGATATTTCTTTGATATTCATCAAAAATACTTCGAGAAATGAAGAAAAAGCTGACATACGGAATTAAGACTTGATGCAATTGCTATTGCATAACGGAAATAGTTGGTTTCAGAGATGGCAATACTGGACCGGCAGTAAAAATCTAAGTTAGACTCGAGAAAAGTAGACCCTTTCCAAAGCAAATTCGTATTTCATACATTTAGGAGTGAACATCTCAGATTATAATTTTAGGTTATTTATCATATTAGCAGGAAGAAAGAGAAAACAATAAGCATAAATAAAATAAATATATAAAAGATTAAATGAAATAAATCAAATATTTTAACAAAATAAATATTATGCATATGTGGCGTCACTGTTTTATCTCCGAGTATTATTTTTTTCCGAAATATTCGATTCTGTGTAACCTCGAAATGCCTAAACTGCTCTTTCAACAGTTTTAGCTTAGAAAGGCTAAGCTTTGTATCCAAGCAAGTAATCTATTATTCTGTAGACGATAAGGAATTTTTAGGAGTAAATAGCAGTGAAAAGGGAAAATAACAAAAATTTTAATTTCTTCTTAGAATTCGAAAGTCGAAGAAATACTAAAAATTTGTACGGCGAGCCTATAACTAAATATATATAATTATATTGTAAATACGATTTTAAAGCTACTTGTAATTAAGTAACACTAAACTACTCTTGTTATGAGCTACTACTAACTACTAATGTAACTGTTATTAGATATAATATATGTATATACATATGTATAAGTATGGTAAATCTAACCTTGCGCGGCAGCTTCCACCAATATGTTTCTATTGCTTTTATCATTTCACTTAATATAATATGAAAATTTCACTCATTTGCTGCTTTGAGTACATTTGGGAACCACTGACTACAATTATTCACTTTTCGTAATTGTGACGCCACCGCTGCCGGCACCATTAGGTGTGCACTTCGGCGGCGTATCCTGGCGATGAAGTGTGGGCGTGTGTGTTGGCGTTATTGGCGGCGAAAGTTGTTGCTGCTGCTGTTGTTGTTGCAGATGCAGTGCAGCCGCTTGTGAAAGTTGTTGTTGCTGCTGTTGCTGTTGGTGTTGGTGATATGCGGCATTCTGCGCATCGAGCAGCGTCAAACTGGCAATGCTGTGATGATTGTTGGCTGCCGCCGCCGCCGCTGCTGCTGCTGCAGCCGATAGGCCGTTCATGGTGCTGGCCGTCATATCCTGAGCCGACTCGCTTTTCAGGCGTACACCATTATTATTGTTATTGTTATTATTGTGATTGTTGTTATTATTTGCAACAGCGGCGGCGGCGGCAGCATGCGCATTGCTCAGCGCAGCGGCGGAGTGATGATGGAACGAAAGCGGTGGCAAGTGTAGACCCGGAAATGCCAGACCAGCAGCGGCGGCGGCGTGTAGAGATTGCAGCAGTGCAGCAGAGTGTTCTTGCGCCTTGCGACGCAGCTCAGCTACAGAACTGGAACGTGCATCATGATTGTTATGCGACGACTGGCTAAGGACCGAGGTGACATGGGGAGGCGAATCGGGTGAGCTGCTAGCAGAGGGCGCAGCCGAAGAAATGGGTATACCAGAGGAGGAGCTGGAAGAGGCAACAGCAGCTGCGGCGGCTGCAGCAGCGGCAGCAGCTACCGATGAGGCGCTAGGCGGTGGTGGCGGTGGTTTCAGCGAGCAGCACGAGCAGAGACCCGGAAACGGTGAGACGCCTGAAAGAGTAAGGAACGAATTGGTTAAGTGTTATTGGAGTAAAGTTTATATATATAACTGAAGCGTCTGCGCTACGTCTGGACAGGACTGTTATTGATCTTTGAAGACGTAGAAGCTCTGAATCCCACGTTTATGTATCTACGAAAGAAAAAGGGGACTCGGAGCTCCTTAAAATATTTTCTGTTTGAGCAAGTTGGTTACCGACGCCGGTAAAAATATGGATGTTAAAAGTAGGAGCAACAGCACGGTCTTGGAGGAAGCTATGCAATGCTTTACCTCCAAGGGCAGAGCATTAACACTATGGCTTTAATGTAAAGTAATAAATCAGAGCCAATTTGCTGATTTGCATTTAAAATTCAATTAAGTTAATAGGCCACTCACTACTTTCTCGCTTAACAGATACTTAAGCCGTGCTGATAATGATTTTATGAAGTGCTATACGCGTGGTAGGGGGAAAACTGTGTCTCTGCATGTCATCGATTGCGGCGTAGCTGATTGACAGCGTAACAGATTGAAATCCAACAGCGCGACTAGAGGACTATGTCGACGACATTGCGATGACGAGATACCACACTAGCCAACATTATGTAATTACATTACATCTACATACAATCGATAAGTTCGATCGCAGGCACCTTTCAAGCAAAGCACCAGCATGGTGCTATTACTTATTGATGCGAGTTTTTGATTTATAATACGCAAGCAGAAGATTTACTGAAGCTCGATACGCACTGATGTAGTGTATGGTGTGATGTCTGAGTGGTGAATGGTGTGGGTTAAGTAAATAAATATTTTATGCAACAATATTTTCCATGGCACAATAATCGCATTTACCTTTTAGTCCGGGAAAGAGTGGTTGATGTGTAAATTGTGAGCTCAGCGAGGCCAAATGCGGCGGCAGAAAGAGTGGTGGATGCGCGGTGGTGGTGCTGCGTTGTGCGCCAGCACCAGAAGCGACCACGCTGCCGGAGTTGTCGTTGAGCACCGGACGAAAGCCGCAATTGCTGAAATGAAAATAATGAAATTGGAAAGAGAGAAGACAAGATTAAAAAGTATGCTCATACATACATGAAAATATTTATGATTGCATTGTTAATGGGGGAATATAACAAACATATATGTCAAATCAAAAGTGTTGAAAATGTAATTGCTGTTAAGTGTGGAGTTGTTAAAAAAATTAAAGTCTTTAATTGATAGATATTCAATTAAATTAGGCAATTAAGTGTGGTTATGATTGATAAAGTTTCAATGATTTTGAAAAAATTAACTCTTTTACTCTCTCTTTGGATTGCTTTTACTTTGTTAGGTTCAGTTAAATGGGTTCTACTCCCCTCTGGTGAAAAGTGTAAAATATTCTATTCGGAATTACTAGTCGAAAGGGCTTAAGGAAAGCAAGCAACGAATGTGAAAATCTCGTTCGCTACTATGGCATTCTCTGTGAAGACTGTGTTTGATTGAAGCATTCTACTTGGATATCTCGCCTTCAGGCATTCACGAAATAAAATACCCGAACAGATTTGCGATAGATTCAAGATTAATATCATCGACACGTAAGAACTCAATACAGAGTTTTTTCACTTCATAAAACACTTATCTTTAGCAATTTAAACATGATCCTCACTTTGGTCCATAGTTTCCAAACTATATTAAACGATTCTAGCCTGCTGACAATAAATTTCGAACTACGGTTGAAACTTTTGTTAGCGTACCTTTCCTGAGATGACTTTTTAAAGAGAATCTATTTTGAGAAAACTTTCAAAATAACACTGAGCAATAAAAATGACAAGGTGGGCTCCACTTTTAATCAATTCATAAGAAGGAGTACACTGCATTGGTTTACCGACGGCTCGAAAGAACATAAAAAATGGATGCTGGGATACTTGGACTACAAACCAAAGTGCCCAAGGCAGTTTTCCAAGCATTTTTCAAACTGAAGCTGATGCTATCAGTAGGCATCAAAAGATTATACTAACGAAAAAGTCCATGATACTTTCAATATTATTATAATTTAGAGTTAAGCAGTACTTCAGGCAAATTTGTGCTCGGAAATCAAATAGTCATAAAGTGCTTTAAAAAGTTTAATGGCATTGCCACGAGAAAAATTAAAGGTATAGATGGTATAAATACTCGAGTTGTACTCCTTAAATACGCAGCAATTGCAAGAAGAAGAAGCCAGCATATGGGAGCATTATAGCCGCGTAGAGAGCATGCCATATATGTCAGGCTGAGTGCAACTGGAATACATGAAGTGCTGGAATTACTGATTATTATGTGCCCTATAATAGAATACATATCGAAGCGCAATGTTTAGTATTGATGCAATAAGACGGTATACGAATAAGTGAAACAATATTAGGGCACTCGATAATTTTATACATAATACTTGTATATAAAAATAATCCAATTGATTTATATTTAAACCATATATATGTATGTATTTACATAATTCGATTTCTTCGAAATTCCCTACTTTCTTCGACTCAGATTTAACACTAGATACTCGATTGAAACGCGATTCATCAATTTATTTGCATGCGTTCGCTTTATTAACACAATTTGGCTTAATTTGAGGAAAAAACGTCGCATTTATATACTTAAGTACATGTAGTAGATATGTAAGTATGTATTCATTTAAAAAGTCAAAAATATGCAAATGAGCGCCTCTACAGCGCCTGCAGCTAATAAAAAAGTTAATTAAACAATAGAAGTTGTGAATATTTTGACTTTTCTGGGAGAAGGGTACAATTTCGTTATCATTAATTCATATTTCTTCGCCTTCATTTCTATAAACTGCTGACTATCAATTGTCTGTGGAATGTTATACACTATTCAATTAAATTTAAATTACATTAACAATAATAAATACAAAGTGTATCGCATGTTATTGCGCGACGTTCGCCGTTTACAAGCTAACAAAGCGAGCGAAAGGCACAAAGCAGAGTAGAGCAGAGGAAAAGTGAATAGTAAAAGTTATGATGATAAGTGAATGAATTGGAGGCTGAATCGTCGATATATCCATGTCATTTAATTAAACGTTTAAGCATATTAGATGCACACAAACACAAACAAACAATATATAAGCTAACAAAGCCTACATTTTGGTGGCAGCAACATGATGTCATGGACAATGCGCAGCAGCCGAGAATCCATCATGCTAGCTTTGAATTAATTCATATATATTTGTATGCACATAATAAATGGGTGGCTTGTGTGGCCCAACTCTAGCTCGGGTGTCGCACGCTCGTCCACTCAACTCGTTTTCACTTATCTTGTTTTCGCATTTGTTTTCGCTTTTTTTTTTTCTACAGTTTGTATGTGTATTGTATAATATTCATAAGCATATGAATTGGAGTAGTAACAGTAATAATAATGCAATTATACAAAAAAATTGTTTTAATTGATTTCAATTAAGCGTTAATTGAAAGCGTCAGCCAAATGAATTGAACCCTCAGCATGAAAGCATACAAACTAGCTGAGTATTTACATATATTATGTGTTTGTATACAAATAAATATATATGTTTGTATGAATAATATAGCGATTTTAACAATATATTATATAATACATTGTATGTAATATATATTGATATACTTCAAGTTATACAGGTTGATTGAAAAGTGTCTGCTCTCACCAAGAAATAACAGTACTACAAATAGCTCCAAAAATTTGTTTTCTCAAGTTGGTACATCTGTCGTGAGAACACTTGCAAAGTTATAAGCCATTCTGTCAATTAATTCTTTGTTTACAAGCCATTAAAAGTTGACGTGTCAGAGTATTTTTTTAATATGGAATAAATTTAATATCGCGCAGTGATAAGATTTTTTGTTTTGAAAGGTTTAAAAGCAAAGAAAATTTATGAACAATTGTTAGAAGTGTATAAGGAGTCCTCACCTTCCAAACGCACCGTTGAATTTTGGGCTGGTGAATTTAAACGTGGTCGCACTAGGCTTGAAGACGCGAAGGAAAACCAAAAACCGCAACCACACCAGAAATCATTGAGCAAGTTCATAATATTGTTAGTGAAGATCCAAGTTTGACGCAGCGTGAAATTACTAATGCCCTAGGCATCTCAGACGAACGAGTACTTCACATTTTACAGAATATGAAAAAGCTGTTTAAAAATTTAGTGCCACACCCGTTAACAATACAACAAAAACTGAATCAAAAACAAGTTTCTCAGCATAATTTGAAGCAGTTTAAGCAGAATAAAACCGAGTTCTTGCATCGTTTTATAACTATGGATGAGACTTGGATCTACCATCATGATACTAAATTCAAGCAAGAACGTTTATAGTGTTGCTCCAAAGCAGGTGAAGACACAACGATCAGCAAAGAAGGTTATGCCATCAGTTTTTTGCGATGCAAAAGGAATTTTGTTGATTGATTACCTGCAGAAAGGTAAAACAATCAACTCTGAATGTTATTACAGCCTTTTGGATTAGCTGGATGAAAAAATTCGTGAGAAAAGACCTGGTTTGCAGCACAAAAAAATCATTTTTCATCAAGACAATGCATCTGCTCACAAAATTCAACGAATTTCAGTACGAATTGCTTGAGCATCCACCGTATTCACCAGGTTTGGCTCCCAGAGACTACTACCTCTTCAGAAACCTGAGACCCTTCCTTACGTGGAAAGCGTTTTTCGTCGAATGAAGAAGCTATTACAGCCCTAGACGGGTATTTTGCAGAGCTTCCGGAAAGTAATTATAGGGATGGCATAAAATTATTGGAGGATCATTGGAATAAGTGTATTGAAGTTAAGTGAGATTATATTGAATAAAAAACTGTGTTTCGTACCAAAAATAGTATTTTTTCATTTCGAGCGCATATACTTTTCAACCAATATGTATATATATATACATATATATATATTAGATATAAAGAATTGAATCTATAAATTTAATATTACCCGAGTTGCATTACAACTCTCAATGCACTTTCAGCCTAAATATATGCAACGTATTCGAAAATAAAAGTCTTTTTATTTTTAGCTCTGATTTCAGATCAAATTTACTTCGAAAGCGGTCAGTTTTAACATTTTTACTAATGCCTATGAGATGTTATGGGAACTTCGGTAATCGGTTTTTAACAATTTAAGTGATATAAAAAATAATCTACGCCTTGCTTATCATTTCTGCCACACATTTTTCCTTGCTATTTTTAAGAGAACACAAGGGGATAAATCTAACTATTGTAGAATTTATTTGTTACATCATTCTTCAATTAATCAAAGCATCGGTTGAATTTCTTATATTTCGAAATTCATAATGGCATCAAAGGTCGTACTTGATATTGTATTCACGCAGTAATTACGAGAACTATTAATTAGCATATGCAAAATCAAAGTTTAATAATTATTAAGTATATAATATTTGATATTATGTTTGATATATGTTTTGACACATTTTGCTCATCAAAAATTCCAAAGCGAAGTCTTTAATGTATTAATGCCCTCTAATGTATTATAAGCTTGAAATTCTCTTGCATTCCGCGTGAAAATAACTTACTAAAGACGAGTATATAGCAATATTTATGCCAAAAAAAACACATGCAGACATACCCAAACACTACGAATATTTGAAATACCGCCACAAACAGCTTTGTATAATAATCTGCCACATATAATAGAGTCTATAGAAACAATATGTGTAGGGGTACGCAGAACGCGGCTTCAATGCCTATACATATGCTTATGTGTACTAAGTATGTTTGTATATAATTTACGCTAAGCCAAGGCAGTAACTTCCACGCCACTCTATGCAACTTCGCTCAACTCAATTTGGCAATTCACAACTTAAGCTCATAAATAATGCCACACTTGCGCACTTCAATAATGAATTAGGCAAATGCTTTAATATTCATCATGCAATTAAAATAAGCCTCTACGACGCTGCTGCTGCCGCTGCTATGTAGGCAATGCCGCTTGTGCATTGCCCTTTACGCTCGGCAGGCTGTAACGCTTTCCGTGTGTTGTTTGTGCTGATGTCGTAAAGTCGCCATACTT